AGTCTTGCACCGCGCGAGCCGCGACACCTATGCTTTTGACAGGGACCGCTTCGTGAAGGTCGCTGTAAAGTTTATGCTGCGCAGTGAAGAATTTGCTATGTATTCGTTGTGACAGGCAAAAAATACTTTGATTTTGGGACAACGTAGCTGTGTCTCCGTGGACGCGCGTATCACGCTTCATGGCAACTACTCGGACAATATCACAATTCGCCGAAGGTATACCACCTAAAACGACAGACAAGGTATGAAATTCGAACCTTTTATGAAAGCAACTCGTCTTTTTGTTTGCAGGAAGTCTTATAAAATGAAACTTTTTGCAGCGAAGTCAATTAACTTTGAAGGGCATTTTAAGATAGTTTATGTATGCGGAGCATTCGATCTATTTCACGTTGGTCATCTATCATTCTTGGAACAAGCAGCGAAACTTGGCGACTACTTAATTGTTGGCATCTTCAGTGACCAAGTAATGTCTTTTTTGAGTTTATGGATACACTCAGTTTTTGTGCTGTTAAGATGGTCAACAAACTCAAAGGAAGCAATTATCCAATAATGTCCCTGCACGAAAGAGTGCTCACTGTCTTAGCTTTCAAGGTGATCATTCTGCCTACGTTCAGTTACGTTAGCTTTATGTTCACTTTGTTCAGCCGGTCAACGAGGTCATAATTGGTGTTCCCTGTTGCGTATCTGATGACATCATTGAGCAATTTAACATATCGGTGAGTTTATTGCAATATCTCGAACAAGTAAAGATGGTTTTTCGGGTGGTGTGTCAAGGATGTCGCGAACCCCATTACGTTAATTTAGGAAAAGATCCATTTGAAGCACCAAAAAGAAGAGGTTTTTGTCGGAAAACTTTCGTTATTTTCAATAGAATTCTATTTTACGTTTAGGGATCTATCGTGAAGTGGATTCAGGCAGCGATATGACAACGGAAAAAATCATTAAGCGGATAATCGCTCACAGGTAACAAGATGCAAAGACATTTGTTGCGTATCGAAGTCGCTTTGGTCAGGCGATACAGTTGTAGAGAACTTTATGAGTTCTTGACAACTGCATGTAAAACTTATGATTTTTCCAGACAAGTCTTCAGACAAGTCTACATACAATTAACACTGCCCCTGATGTTTCAGTCTGTAATTTAAACGGGCGGAAAGTGGATGGATACTTGATCTTTTTTTTATCAAACTCTTTTCTGCCGCACTCACTTAGAACTGCTTTTAGTATCATGGATGTCTGATTAGGGGAAAGGATTCTAACTGATGTCAAGTTGATTAAAACTGTCCACATAAGAAAATTTTCTGTTAATTAAAACGGGGACATCTTCAAATTCACTTGTAACCGTTTCTAAGGGTAGGACGGCGAAGAAAGGGGAGAGGTGGAAGGTAAGGGGATGCGATATGAGGAAGCCTTTGCACCTTTTTT